AGTCTCCATTCTGTACTTTGATGACTTGAAATCGAATATTCGAATAGGTATCACTTTCCAGCAAGGGTTCTATCCTGCGGATGCCTAGAGTGGAACAAATTAGATAGAAAATATATCCAAATGTTGGTAAAATCACTATGCTATGAGGATTGAAGAGAAGGATAAAAGATTCTTTTGCAACCAACGGTTGTCTTCTTCATATACGATTGTAATGCGATTCCATCGCCAGTATCGGAACAGATCCACGATCGCTTCAAACAGCTGGGCACGAGGAAAGAACGCAATCTATGAAAAAGCGAAAATTTCCTATGGCTTCAAAAGATATTGGCGGAAGAGTAAACGCTGAGTCTACTAGGAATTGTTTCAGTTCATGATCGTGCGAAACTAGGCAGGGGGAAGGGGCAAAAGAAAGACACTTTTGCTTCCATTGAACTTTCGGGGCCGCCTATAAAATAGCAGCTTTATTGAAATCTCATCGGAGCATTTCGCACGCAACGCATTATTAAGAGCATATTCAATATTATCATGACACTTCTGCACATGACTTTTGGACAGGTCGAGAGAATTCTGTGCGCGCGGACCAGCGGATATGGATAAAAGTATAGAAGAATAAAAAATGCCTGAGATCAGCGAGATAGTCGATTTCTCCGCCACCGTAGACCACCCTATTGAACTCCGCCCGAACCGGGTAATTGAGGGGATTCAGGTCAGGTGACCTACTTTATGACCATCTTCTTTAGGTACCCGCCTTCCAATTTCCACAGTAGGCCGAGTGTTTCTCCAACGCCTGCCGATTTCATGTGCGGGCGCACCCAGTGCTTGGTAGCCGTCACAAGTGTTGCAAGAAGGTAGCGGGCGATCGAGAATGTTAGGAAGGAATTTTTCGACGAGTTGCTCGATGTGACCGCCAGCGCTCACCTTATGTCCGGGGTCCACGAAGAAAATATTGGTCTACCCATTCCAGGTACGTCCGGTCCATACCATCAACCCGCGCCTTGACGACTGTGGTGAAGATGATGTCCTAGACCGTGGCGACGTTGTCGGAGCTGCTCGATGTTGGAGGTCGTCCAGATCGAGAGTACTCGTGCATGCGCAGGTAGCTATCCATGGTGACTCCATGCTAAGAAGTTTCGCAGCTGTTTGGAGGTGACGTGAATTCCAAAGGTCTTCTCCAGTCAGGCTGGAGATGACTTCATATTTTGGTGTACATGAAGGTGATGGGCGAGAGCCAGCTCCTGCTTGTAGAGGAACATCTTGGGTATCTTCCGCCCTGGTACTCGTATCCACGTCCTCTGTCTGGGCAGCGAAAACTTTGCTGATATGTGACTCGGTCGAAGTGACTTTTTTTTTGCCCCCTCCCTGTATAGGGCGTGACGCGGCGCGCCTTGGAGGAGCGCAACCAGTACAGCCCTTTTCCGCCAGTTTTGCCTTCCTGAGCTCAGGAAAATGCAGGAATCATAGTTGTACCTCAACACACTTATAATGCGTCAGAACTCTAAAGTTTCCGAATCATATGCGATCAGATTGGTAGACGCTTTGCTGCAAGAATCGTGCTCTGGGCTTCTCGCTGTTATCGTCCCCACTAGAGGGAGAATTACAGCGTTTCTAAGCGGTTCATGCTTCGCGACCCAGGGGGGTCGGCCTTTCGTATCGCGGAACTTTTCTACTATTTCAGTCACATTCGGTGTAGAACTTCATTCCTACGTTTCAGCCGCTGGAACAAATCGTCACGAAACTTGTCACCTGGTGGTCGCGAAATATGAGTGCAGTCTGGTTATCCTATTGTTCATGTTCAGAGAGAGAGCGAACATGCACTGATGTCTTCTATGGCCTAGACCTAAGAAAACACTAACCTTCCCAAGAGGAAAACCTCGGTATAGTACCGGCAGAGGTTGCGTAAAAGTTAGAAATATGTTTCCGATGCCTGCACAGTGATTTCTGTTGTATACACCATCCACAATCCCTGTCACCAAGCGAAATGTTTTCTCACAGCCGTTTTCCGAGCTACAGTTTCGCTCGCTTTGGATGAAAAGGCGTAGCGGGCGGGATGAGTCTGACGCCACGCCAAACCCGTTATCTACCAATTGCTGAAGCGGGTAAGCGGCAAATTTGGCGGAAAACAACAGATACGAACGCTATGATACAGTCTTGTCGTCTGCCGAAAGAAAAAGAAAGAAAAGGAAAGGACTGGCGCTCTGCAAAATCCATCCCCGTGACACGCCTCATCACCCGCAGCGAATAAGGTCGTGAAGAATTCGCGAATGGAGCTGCGAAATTCGCTGGACCTTTTGTGAGATCTCTTGAAGGTGCTGGAGGTTGAAGAGGAACTGTTAAGGAGCTTTCAATGCTTCAACATCGTTCTAACATAAGATTGTACATCGAGAGTACAGTGACGAAACCCTACCTTAGTGTTTCCAGCGCTCGGTTCAACGTCATCGCTCGCCGTCAGCAGCGGAATATCGAGCTTAAATAACCATTTTCCTGATGTTACTCACAGTATTTGTTGATGCGATTTCACTACTGTTGATGGGAGTAGAACTCCGTCAGATTTTTAATCTAGTGATATTTAAGCGGCTTACCTGATCCGTGAGTCTTTCCAGTTGAGCGTTGAGAAGGGAATGCGAGCCTCCAACAAGAGCAATAACACGATCTCTTTCGAACATCGAGCAAGCTATAAGTATGCAAAGATGACAGCTGATCCTTCCGACCTTTCCTAGGGAAGCGTGGTCCGCGAGGAGCCACCCTGTGCCCGTGTCGCGGCAAAAAATTGCAAGGGAGGGCGCTATAGCGCAATATAGGTTCAGTGACGCCTCCTTTTCTCCAGTGACTCCGCCTCCAGACTCCGCCTTCAAGGCCCGCCTTTCAGTGAAAAACGAAGCTGCATGAAAAGCATGAAAATCGTCACTTGTACGGTCGTAGGATTCTTATCGGGGAATCAACTCTGCGAATGAGGGCGTAGTTGGAGACGGACGTAATTTGGCATGTACGTTTGCATCTGAATGGGTCATGTGGGTCGGAATGGGTTTCTATCTTGGGCAGTGGTATGTTATTTTCTGCTTTTTTTTCTTCACTATCGAGTTGCTCAGCGTATTTTCGTCTATATGCAAACCTCTAATCCACTATCTGTGATGGCAAGTGACCGCGGTCTTCGCCTTTAATGTGATGGTGAGACTCTATCGTCCTTACTGATCATACTAATACCCGCAGCCACATTCCACACTTCGAGACTTTTGGTGACCTGATTGCAATTCTTCTTCGGAAGTGTTCGGGACTAGGCGTCTGGGTGGGGAAGGCGTTTGATCAGCTAGCCGGCAAATTAGAAGCTCACCCATATTTAGGCCCATAAAGAAGATAGGAGAGTCGAAACGTTAGGTCAATAAAAGGTTCCATCCAGCAACATCTTTTAGCAGGAGTGATTAAGATTCGCTAATGTGAGCACTCCGCTGGGTTTATCACAAATGAGAAAGAACGACAAAATGAGGACGGAGAAACTGTGAAGATGAATGAGAATGGTAGACCAGCAAAATGAGTTGAGGGAAAATCAGTCAATGAAACCTAACCTGAGATTCAAAACACCACGAAGCCACTTCTATAACAGAATGACACTCGGGAGAGCAACTCTGAACAAGCAGGAAAAACAGCATTTCTTCACAGGCCCCCTGATTTTCTTCACTTTGAGAGTATAAGATTTTCTTATCGAAGCCAAAATTTTGAAGGGAAAAACCATTACGAGAGCAGTGGAAAAGATGAAAACAGGCACCAAACCACGTGCGAATGATTAGTCTAAACAAGCTGCCATCAAGTCGCACTTCAACTACTTTTTGAAAGCAGTCGTTGGCAGAGATTCCAAAAAAGTTCATGTTCGACTTTCAATCTTGACAAGGAGAAAATCCAGTACGTCCTCAATACGGATGCATATATACCGTATCCATATATTGCCGTATCTGTCGCGAGGCATATACGGCAAGCCAGGCTGCGTTCATACTTTGCGG